ATGCACCAGACTTAAGGCGATAGGTCAGTGACCATAAATGAAAGGATGAATAGAGGCTAGACAAACAAATAATATTCCTTAATCTTATCCTTAATCTATTTGAACAAACGTAAGGATTGAGACGTAACAGTAAGGAAAAATTGTGACAGGAGATTAGTAATTTAAAACGTTTTTTTCTTTTAGATAGGGAGATCTTGATATCTATACATATAAATAAAATTAAAGTGTCTGTTTGTAATAAATCGAAATAGCTGCCTTTTATTGAGCTGAGGGGTTATTTGCATGCTAAGACATGAATATAACCGTCTTTTTTTATTTTGTTCATCTGTCCGGGCTAATTTTTGGAATGGCTGATCGAATGTAATAAAACTTGACCAACAGATATAGCAATGCCAGTAGTGATCTAGGCCGGTCTATATCTTATTTGTGAAATCAAAAATTTAATGAAACAATTGGCCTTTGTCTGTTTGTAATGTCAAAATAACAGATTTTTTCCAAATGCATATGAAATTATATACGGTACTAATAACATAAACACTGTTTTTAAAATTTTTGTCTATCTGTCTGTCTGTTTATTCCGGCTAATCTCCGAAACGGCTGGGCCGATTTTGACGGGACTTACACTGGCAGATAACTAATATTATAAGGAGTAACTTAGGTAAGTAAGTAACCTACTTTTATTTTGGAAAAAGAATTAGAGTCCCGCGCTAAAAAATGAAATGGAACCTCATTAGGTTTCAGAAGATGAGAGTTCAACATAACCTGTTCTTGCTCCCGCAGGACATGTATGCATAGTCACTACTCCTTGTAAAAAGGTGTAAACGCACTTCGCCTTTTAGCATAATTTTTGATATCACAATCAACTTCTGAACTTCTGAACGACTTGACAGATTTAGATATTTATACAAGATATTTGTTTTGTCGAGCGATACAAATTCTATATTAATTGACCAAAAGAACACACTACAATATATTATGTTGGTTTAGTTCCGCGGTTTAAACTTATCGCATCACCTAGGAAGCAAAAAAAGTCATTTATTACACAAAAAAATTATATCATGCCTAAAAATGTAAAATATAATGTCGATATAGTCGAGAGTACGGAAAATTCATAAAAATTACAAGGCTAAATCTCTTAGACCCGTTACCGGCAGTATTACTCATGAAAAAAATTGTTATGCGCTCAAAATTGTGACAAACGAGCACACAGTCCACCTAATGGTAAGTGGTCGCTGTGGCCCATAGACATCTACATCTATCTTCGTTTGCGACATAAAATGCAGATGCGTTGTCAGCCGTGAGGACTGAGATGGAATGCTTCGTTTCCAGTAAAAAGGGTCTCCGGTTCTCTCACTATACGAAACACAGCAGCGTTAAGCTGTTATATTACGCTGGTATTCTGTGAGAGCGTGGTCCTTCCCCGGTCGAGCCGACCCATTCGTGCTACAACTATAATATTAATATAGCTGCAGCATGGCTCTACCACGTACGTTACGATCGCGCTTTACATTGGCAATAATCCTTTTGATATATTATATTAGAAACTATAATTATACCACAAAATTACATGACCTCAGTATTGTAACGAGCACATTTTCCAATAATAAAATATCGTGCCCTTAATAAAGCGGAACAACCAATTATCTAAATATTGTCAAAGGCTATAACGATTGGTGATCAGAATATTGTTAATCTTTCTATCTTTTATTATCGGCCGTGGCTGGACATAGGCCTCTCCCCTTATAGGGTAGGGTAGATTTGCCTTCATTATACGCTCTTAGTAGATGAGTTGACGATTGCAGTGGCAGATGTCACGCACCTTTTATGCTGCTGCACGTTTTTTTCCTTTTTTATAGTAAAAGGGTGACAAACGAGCACACAGTCCACCTGATGGTAAGTGGTTGCTGTGGCCTATATCCACGTTGTCACTCGTGAGGACTAAGATGGAATGCCTCGTTTTCAGTAAAAAGGGTCTCCGGTTCTTTACACTCACCATACGAAACAGCAGCTTTAAATTGCTATTTTACGCTGGTATTCTGTGAGAGCGAGGTCCTTCCCCGGTCGAGCTGACCCATTCGTGCTACAACTATACTATTAATATAGCTGTAGCATGGCTCTACCACGTATGCAGCAAGTCACCGATCAGAGTAATTAATGTCTGACATACAACCAATGGGAAAGCAAGGTTCTCAAGTTGCAATCTCGCTTTGATAAGCGAAGTGTAGGGCGGTCTCCTATTAGATGGAGTGACGGTTTGGTAAGAGATGCAAGAAGTCGATAGATGCAGGTGGCTCGGGGCCGTGCTTTGTGGCATTCCTTGGCGGAGGCCTATGTTCAGCAGTGGACTTGTGTAGGTGTTTAACTATGAACTGTCAATACGTAACATGAGCTACAGCCTCCAGTTCTTTTAGCGGCGAGATTTTTTGGTAAATGTTATATTCTTATTATGCATCTCAGAAGACAAAGACTAATAAATTGATACCATTCGTACTTTTGAAATTTGCTTTTTCAGTAGAAACATATATAATGTGATATGTTTTATAAAAATGAGTTATATTTGAATTTGGAATACATTTTCTAAAAACGCATGGCAGCAGCATGAATAATTCGGTTTGCCTGGAAAAGATATGGCTCGTACAGTACACCAGCGTGAAATGGCAGCATAATGTTGCTCTGTTTCGCATGATGGATGACAAGGACCAGAAACATTCCATCTTAGTTCTCAGAGATGACCAGTTCATTCTTAATCGAGTGTAAATATATAGATGCTTACGGGCCACAGTAACCACTTTATACCACTATTAGGCCTTTTAGCCGCTCTTACTTCTATAAAATTGGTGTAAGATTACATTGTAATTTCAGCTATAATTTCTGCAAGAATATAATTTATTAGTTTTCGTTACTAGATATATAGTGCGCGTTCGAAGCAGAAGCATTATTTTAATTCATTACTCAAATTTGTGTAGTAAATAGTCTTGACTACAAGTTGCGGCACGTAAGTTTAGAGCTTAACGAAACGTGAAGGGGACGCGCACGAATTTAATTGCACGAATGCGACTGGAGAGCCAATCAGCGCGTGCGAACGATACGCACGAGACAATCAGCGCGGCTTATGCGCAATAAACCAATCAGCGCGACTTATGCGCAATAACGGTCATCGCTAGACTTTCGTGCCGCTACTTATACAAATGAGAAATGCCTGAGCATAGATTATCGTATTTTGCAAAAGAGGTTTGGAATTTAGATACACTAATATTAGGAAAAGCAGTGGGATGAGTAAGTTATCTTTGTGTTTAATACTCAGTGAATGAACGATATATGAAGCTAAAAAATGGTCTTACGTGATAAGTAGTATCCGTGCAAAAATGACCTTATATTGGCAGTGTAAGAATATCCAATACAACATATCGTCCCGTAGGTGTAGGAAGGGGCGATTGAGAGAAACGAACATGGGAACGGGCAGCGTTTTCTTAATAATAACTGGAAAATAAAAAAATTGCGGTTGCCAACCCGCTTGCCAAACATGGCCACAATGGTAAATATTCCCCTCGTGTTGGGAGGTGTATATGTTTTATAGTGGACTATGATGGGCTGTAATGAATGCGTTAACAGCTCTGCGAGATAAAAACATAGGGCAAAGTATATTTTTCTAGTGGTAAGACTCTTTTTCTGTCAAGGAGACCTGGGTAGCACTACATTCTTACCTATTACTGTACTAGTGCACTACTGCACTATAGCAGTGTTTGCACTGCTATTTCAGTCTGATGGGTATGGAGAGCCAGAAGAATATAGAGTGATAACGCGTCTGGACTTACTTTTTTGTAGTTGTCTGCAGAGATACCGATATCAGGTGGGCTGTAAGTTTGTTTGTAACTTCAGTGTTATAAAAAAATATTAAAAATTTTGCATTCTTTGCTACTAGAAACATTATTACCTTTCAAGCCCTGTTAAAATTAATACATACGAAGATTGTAAGTGGTATTTCCTATTTGCTAATAACTATAGTTATGGATTTGTGAGAAATTGTATATTTGGAATACTTTAATGTTTAAAAGGATCTGCTATCCTCATCTATACAAGGTGCACCCTTTTTATTAACTGAGATGGACTCTGTCTCTAAGCATTCATCTAAATTGTTGAAACTAATATTCATATACCGGTGATAGATACAGTAACATTACCAGTGCGCGGTATCATCAACTAACCGAAATGGCACCGGAAAAACTTCCAATAACTGCACTATACAGCAATTGACTTAAAAAGTTGATATCGTGAATTGATGATAAATCGCAACTAAATTAGTAAACATTAGCGAACATACTACTCATTTACCGCTACAAAATACGATTCTGCCAAAAATTCTGACTAAAACATGTTACAAGCATGGGCAGAAGGTTTAAGAGAGCCTTGATAATATAACCACTTAAATACATGGGCGAGTTTAATGGGAGGCTTGATTATATAATCACTTATATTGATATTGGTTTTATCTTTTATTTCCCTTGTAGTGGTAAGCGTTATAAAAGCAATGCGATTTATGCCTTTTTTTATCTTGATCTTACACAAAACTAAAGTTTATCAACAGATCGTCGCAGCTAATACCAATATTATTAGTTATTAAAATACAAATTGATAAGCTAATCTGCTTACCTAAATCTCAAGTAGAAATCTATTCACAGCCCAATATTTTGTATCAAGTGTGAGTTTGTGTACGTTTATAGGTAGTCTGAATTTTCAACGTCCCTTTGTAATAAGCGATATTTGTATAGTATACCTGTATAATTCACTGCTACTATTATATTAAATACATTCGAAGCTGTAATGCATTTCAAAGTGGGATTCGCAACTCTGTAGTTTGAGAAAGAAGAAGAAGAAGAAAAAAGTAATACTAAATGAGAAATATGTTAAATAGCATTAATGAATTAAATCTTTTTCGCATTTCGTTTAGAAACTTTTAAATAAGGCTGAAAATTTTACAACAAATAAAAACACAACGAAATTTACTGATCACATTTCCGACTCACCCTTAACCGCTGATCAGCAACGGTCCACACCCGGCTCGCGAAGTCGTTAGATGCTCCTACAATGTATGTGCCAGTTGAGTCGAAATCCACAGACATTACACCCGCGTTTGAACCAACTAGAGTGCCTCTGCTTTCGACTGTGCCAACTAGAACAAAGAACGTCCTAATATCACACACTGATCCACTCTAGAAGTTTCATGTGACGATATAAACATTTTGAGGTATCGTAAATTTATCGTGCCGCTGTGTGAAAAATCATCAGCCAATTTCGCTCCACGGGTGTCGTAAAAGGGCGACTATGGGAAATACTAGAAATACATTATAGTTTCCTATAGATGGCGATGAAATCATTTCGTTTACACCAAACGTAAATAGCTAGCTAGCTACTGCGACTGAACTGGCTGCAGCGTCAAAGGTACGAGACGTCTGGTACTATGATCGTTACGATTAAGGCACACCGTGAAGGCTGATGATGAAGAACATATATCACGAGATTCACGCCATGCCTGTGCCGTGTAGTGACGGCGTAATTTTACATGGTAGAGCCATGCTGCAGATATATTAATATAGCAATATAATTGTAGCACGAATAGGTCGGCTCGACCGGGGAAGGACCACGCTCTCACAGGATACCAGCGCAAAATATCAGCTTAATGCTGTTTCACATTTCGCAGTAAAATAACCTGTTTAATGGAAACGAGGCATTCCATCTTAGTCCTCACAAGATAGATGTAGATCTCTATGGGCCACAGCAACCACTTACCACCAGGTGGACTGTGTGCTTTTTGTTACTTTTATCCTATAAAAAAAATATGACTGAAAAAACATACTGGTGGTTTCGAGAAAAACAATGTAATCTCGAAAGAAAAAAAAATTAAAAAGTATAACGACAAAGATAAAACTTTAAAAGAGGTGTCGTAATGAACAAACATGGCGTATGATGTCGACGTGTGAGAGAACAAAATCACCCTCCACATAAGTAGCGGCACGAAAGTCTAGTGGTGACGGCGCGCTGGTATAGCGCATAATTCGCGCTGATTGGCTTATAGCGCATAGGGCGCACTGATTGGCCTATAACGCATAAGTCACGCTGATTGGCTCGTGCGTATCGTTCGCACGCGCTGATTGGCTCTCCAGCCATACTACTGGTATAGTTGTATACCAGTAGTATAGTTGTATACCAGTAGTATAGCTGCAGCAAGGCTCTACCACGTAAAAAACATTTTTAGCACGCTTTTATTGGCTTAGCATGTATCTATATAACGTAATTTTTAAATGTGATTTTCATGCCCTTTAAATCATCGAATTAATTTGAAACATCGCACACTTATCAAGGATCGATGACAATCATCATCATCATTACAGCCCTTCACAAGTCCACTGCTGAACATAGGCTTCCCCCAAAGAATGCCACAAAGCACGGTCCTGAGCCACCTGCATCCATCGACTTCCTGCATGTCTTACCAGGTCGTCACTCCATCTCGTGGGGGGACGCCCTACACTTCACCTACCGGTACGAGGCTGCCACTCGAGAACCTTTCTTCCCCATCGGTTGTCGGTTCTTCGAGCTATATGGCCGGCCCATTGCCACTTCAGCTTACTAATCCGTTGGGCTATGTCGGTTACTCTGGTTCTACTGCGGATATCCTCATTCCTAAGTTTATCACGCAGAGAAACTCCGAGCATAGCCCTCTCCATAGCTCGCTGAGCGACCTTGAGCTTCCTCATCCGGCCAGCAGTGAAGGACCACGTCTCAGTTCCGTATGTCATCACTGGCAACACGCACTGGGTGTACAGTCTCGTTTTCAAGGTTTGAGGTATACCTGACGAGAAGATGTGCCGTAATTTCCCGAACGCTGCCCAACCGAGTTGAATCCGTCGATTGACCTCTCGGTCGAAGTTTGACTTACCTAGTCGGACTATTTGTCCCAGGTAAACATACTCGTCAACAACTTCGAGCTTAGTGTTCCCAACAACTACGGGCATAGGTGTGACATGGACATTAAACATGATCTTAGTTTTGTCCATGTTCATCTTAAGACCTATCCGTTGGGAAACACTATTGAGGTCATTGAGCATAGTGCTTAGGTCCTCCAGCGATTCTGCCATAAGGACTATATCGTCGGCAAATCGAAGGTGAGTGATGTACTCGCCATTGATGTTGATACCGTATCCTTTCCAGTCCAGAAGCTTGAAAACGTCTTCCAATGCAGCGGTGAAGAGTTTCGGGGATATGACGTCACCCTGTCTTACACCTCTCTGCAATTGGATAGGTTTCGTACTCTGGTTCTGTACTCGGATAGCCATCGTAGCCCTACTGTACAAGCACTTCAACACTTCGATATACCGACAGTCAACTTGGCACCGCTGAAGGGACTGCAGCACCGCCCAAATTTCGACGGAATCAAAGGCTTTCTCATAGTCCACATACGCCAGACATAGTGGCAAATTGTACTCTTCGGACTTCTGTACAATTTGCCGAAGGGTATGTTGTATGTGGTCTATGCTGCTAAATCCCTTCGGAAACCGGCTTGTTCGGGAGGCTGGAAGTCTTCAAGTCTGCGCGCGAGACGATTCGTAATGACTCTCGAAAACAGCACGTAGACGCGGCTCAGAAGGGAAATCGGTCTGTAGTTCTTCAAGAGAGCGTTGTCACCTTTCTTGAAGAACAAGACCACCGCACTTCTGCTCCACGCCTCCGGTGTAATGCCACCATGGAGGACGGAATTAAAGAGCTTCTGAAGGACTTCAAGTACCGGTTTTCCACCCGCTTTCAGAATCTCCGCTGTAATTCCATCCTCGCCTGGGGCCTTACCGTTTTTAAGGTGCTGGAGAGCCATTCTAATCTCGCTCAGACTGACGTCCGGGATATCTTCGGAATAGTGTCGGATGAGACTCGCTCTTGGATCGTTACTCACACTTGCGTGTGGCTCCAACGATGACGTGTACAACTGCCCATAGAACCTCTCAATCTCACTCAAAATCTCAGGTGTACCGGAAACGATGCTGCCACATTCTGTCTTCAGCTTTGACAGTTGACTCTTTCTGGCAGACAGATCTCTGGCAAAGACTTTGGAGCCTTGGTTCCGCTCGATCGCTTCTTCAATACGAGCTGTATTGAAGTTGCATAAGTCCCGCCGCATGCATTTGGAGATCTGTCTGTTCAGATGCCTGTATGCTGTCAAGTCTGTTGAAGAATGTAGCTTCATCTCCCGTCTAACAGCCATGAGATTAAGAGTGTGATCGGAGAGTTTTTGTGTTCTTCTGCGGCGGGTCTTGCAGAACTTAGCTCCGACCGCATGGACAGTTTCCACGAGCTTGTCATTCATATCGTCCACTTCATTGCAGTCTTCTAGGCACTGAAAACGGTTTTGTAACTCGAGCTGAAAGGTTTCGGGACTTTGGATTAGAGCACGAGGGGGACGGAGCGTTGACTTCATTAGACGAGACCTCTCCAACTTAACGGTTAGGTTCAATGTGCCTCTAACCATTCGGTGATCGCTACCAGTTTTCACCCTCGCGATCACGGAGACATCACTGAACAGTTGTCGTCTGGTCGTCATAATGAAGTCAATCTCATTTTTTGTCGAACCGTCGGGGCTCGACCAGGTCCACTTCCTGTGGGGCCGCTTCTGGAAGAAAGAGTTCATCATAAAGAGTCCCTCTTTCTCCATGAAGTCGGCCAGCTGCTGGCCCCTTGGGTTCCGTTGCCCTATTCCAAATTTCCCTACTTTCAGCTCACCGTTCTCTCTTGTGCCTAGTTTTGCATTAAAGTCTCCCATTAACACCGTATATTGGGTTTTGGAGGAATGCATGGCTCTAGAGATATCCTCATACATTTCCTCCACCTCCTCATCGGGGTGTGCCGAGGTTGGTGCGTAAACCTGTATGACCTTCAGCGAATACCGTTTGGTGATTCTGAGTATAAGGTACGCAACCCTCGTCGACACACTCCCGATCTTTACAACGTTGTTAGCGAGAGACTTGTGGACGATAAATCCGACACCTCCTTGGGACAGATGGTCGCCCTCCCGGTGATAGAGCAAGTTGCCGGATTCGAGGATTACCGTGTCCTCCCCCTCTCTTCGGACTTCGGATAATCCTATAATATACCAGCGCAACTTGTCTATCTCTTCTTCCAGCTCCACGATCTTCTCGTCAGTCCTCAGGGTGCGTGCGTTGTACGTTGCCAGGTCGAGTCGTCTAAGGTGGCAACCGAACCTCCACCGGAGATTCTTAGCACCCCCTGCCCCGCCGTTACCATGGTCGCCACCGTAGCCAGGAATAGCGGGGCCGCCGGGGACTGGGGGCCGTTTCTTTGTTACTGTCATTCATAGTATTTGCCATAGTTGCCACGCTTGGCGAGCGGGTTGGCAACCGAATTTTTTTTTATTGTTAGTTTGTTGTTATCAAGAAGATGCTGCTGCCCATCTCCTGCCTGTTTCCCTTTGTCGCCTTTTACGACACCCACGGGAGGATATGGGGTAGTGGATATTCTTGACCGCCACTACACGGCGATGACAATACAATAATTTAAATAGTTTGTCGCATAATCGCGGCAAGGATAATGGGCAATGAATGTTTTATGTTAATCACAGACCAATTTCTGTACTACCAACATTAAGTAAAATTTTTGAAAAAATTATTTTAGATCAGATGTTAAGTTTCTTCAATATTAATAAATTGCTACACAAAAATCAATTCGGTTTTACAAGGGGTCGCTCGACAACTGACGCTGGAGTTGAGCTTATTAAACATATTTTTGTGCATGGGAGAATTCAGAGGATGCTTTGGGTATATTTTGTGACCTTTCCAAGGCCTTCGACTGTGTTCACCGTGAGATATTAATCAGGAAGCTACAGTACTATGGTGTCAAGAACACAGCGCTTAAACTTATTATTTCATATTTAAGAAATAGAAAACAGAAGGTTATTATCAATGGTAAAAGTTCTTCCGGGTCACCTGTACTAATGGGTGTTCCTCAGGGCTCGAATCTCGGCCCATTCCTGTTTCTGGTGTATATTAATGACTTACCTCACCTTGTAGGGGATAGTCATGATATAGTATTATTTGCTGATGATACTTCCTTGATTTTTAAACTTAAACGTCAATCATTTAAATGTGACGAAGTGAATAATGCTATATCAAAATTAGTGCATTGGTTTAACGTTAATAATCTGCATTTGAACGGAAATAAAACTAATTGTGTTAAATTTACAACAACGAATGTTAAAAATCTTAATACCAATGTGTTTTTAAATGGGGAGGAATTGAGCCCTGTTGTATCCACTGTTTTTCTTGGCATCACTCTTGACGCAAAGCTACAGTGGGGCCCCCATATATCCAAATTAGCAAGCAGACTAAGTTCTGCAGCCTATGCTGTAAAAAAGATTAGAGGTCTCACTAGTGTCGAGACAGCTAGATTAGTTTATTTTAGTTATTTTCATAGCATAATGTCTTATGGGATTTTGCTATGGGGAAATGCGGCTGATTCAGAAACTATTTTTGTTTTACAGAAGAGGGCCATTAGAGCTATTTATAATCTAAAACCGAGAGTCTCTTAGAGATAAATTTAAAGAAATTAATATGTTAACTTTGGCCTCTCAGTATATTTACGAAAATTTAATGTATGTTCACAAAAACAAAGATAGTTTTAGTAAAAGAAGTGATATACATTCTGTAAACACTAGGAACAAACACAAGCTAGTGATACCAGTTTCTCGACTCCACAGAGTCAGTAATTCATTCTTGGGGCAATGTATACGCTATTACAACAAGGTCCCGGAAAGTGTACAGGTTCTCTCTATTACCAAGTTTAAATGTTTTATTAAGCTGAAACTGTATAAAAAGGGTTAGGTATTATAGTATAAATGAATACATGGTTGATAACCCCTGGGAATGAGGTGATCGCTTCCAAGCAGTTTCTAAAATAAATTTTGTAAATAGTTCGTAATCATTTATATTGTAAAATTTATTTAAAAAAAAAGTCCCGCTGGGTTTCTTGCTGGTTCTTCCCAGGACAGAGGGTTTTTCCGAACCAGTGGTAAAGTAAAAAACGACTTTCAATAAGAATTACACATGTAATGTATATTGAATAAAAAATATTCTATTCTATTCTATTCACAATTCTTTTATTTTAAACTTATTGAAAATTATTTTGTACTTTTTAGTTCGGTTATTTACAAGTGTGCTTTTTAGTTTTTTTTAAATATTATTTATTAATAAAGTGGTCCTTCGAGCCATAATAGGAGTAACTGACCGACTGGCTCCTTGTTGTTTTCACGAAACGATTAACCGTCTACTAACCAATTTCTCCGTGAAAATATCATGGTTAAAGCGTTATAAACATTACAAATTAACTAAAAACACAAACTCGTCGCACTAAGAGATGCACAACTTTTTTTGCAAATTATAGCAAAATAACTTTTTTATGCAAAGCATATGATGCGTAAGAAAGATATGCAATTTTTTTTTTCAAAAATACTTACTTTTCGACACGTCCCAAAGCTTCACTTTTCTATCAGCTCCACCCGTAGCTACTATTCGATCTGTTGGACTCCATTTAACAGCATTAACTTCACCGTCATGCGCATCCTTTTTAGACATAAATTGAAAATGTTGTAAATTTGAATAAATTCCGAAGATTAACATCAAAGCGTTTTTGACGCTAATGTTGATCGGTTTCAAGTTGTAGTAATTTACTGCTAAGGAAATATTATGAGTAGGTATTATAGTGTATCAAATAGACTCGCTAACACAGATGCACACAACTACTTAACTAACCTGTGTCCGATATATCGCTAGCTATCAGAACACAAATAGACCACAATAATTGCTGTTTATGGACATTTGCCTGCTCCGGCTGAGATGGGTACTTTACCTACAAGGTCACGTGGCCGTCAGATATTTGATTATTGTATATTTAGGATCAGTAAACGAAAGAGCAAATACAGAGTTTTTGATATTTGATAAATAACTGTAGTATTAACCAAAACTTATTTTACGGATTTATTAATTTTAACTTTTTTAATCACATCGCAATTAGCTACCGTCGGAAAATCTTTGTTTCAGAGAACATGAGAAATCTGTGACCAGTAATACTTGGCCGTCGAGCTCTAGCATGTTAAGCAAGTATTGGGCGACAACAAGCTTCGGATCTCGCGACTCTGTGATCGAGTGTAACCAGCCACAGTCGAGCGTGTGCCTGCTGTACTGAAACATGTCAGAAGAGTCACAGACAAGACTGGTTACACCCTGAAGTGGGCATCCATAAGAACCAAATTACAAGCCGACATAGAATTACGTTGCAGTTTTTACCATTCGTCAAACGTAATATCTACAAGATGCGGGTGTACAACTGGAGAAGCCAGATTGTGACTGCGGTCTCTCTTATATAGGACTAGACCGATAAAACCAGTGTAAAAGAACATAATATTAGCCATTACATCAGTTTCTATAAACCACAAATCCTCACAAATGAACACCAATTCCTACCAAGAATGATTCGCATAGAGCTATTGAAATTTAAAATAAAACCACATTTCAATAGAGAAGAAGGCTGTACCATCTGTGTGTAAATTAGTTTCATTTAATGTGTCATATTCGCTTAAATGAAGTGGCAATAGGCCAGCCGTATAGTTCGAAGAACCGAACCCAAATGGGAAGTTCACGCGTTGCAAGCTCGTACCGTTGAGCGAAGAGTAGAGCGGACCCCCACTAGATGGAGTGAAGACCTGGTAAGATATACAGGAAGTCGATGAATGCAGATGGCCCAGGGCCGTACTTTGTGGCATTCCTTGGGGAAGCTATTCCTATGTTCAGCAGCGGACATATGAAGGGCTGTAATGAGGATGATGATGATAAATAAGTAAATAATTAATTCCCACTTCACGTACAATATAGAATTATGTCTGTAAAATTAATAAGCAAATTTTAAAATTATAAATTATGAAATTGCTATTCATATCATAAAATATTAAGTAGATAAATATTTTACTTACGAATCTTAGTGCAACCTTAGTCGGCAGTGTTGCCGCATAATAAGGCATAGATTCAGCTATTTTATCTTCAGAACTACCACCTGAACCACCGCTACTTCTACCACCTCCTTCTCTAGCTGCCTCTTCCAACTCTTTACGAACCTTATCGCTTTTCTTCCTGCAAAAAGTAACTCTAATTTAATACAAAACCAAACACAGTTAAGATACAACCAGTGCCGGCCCCGGGGTAGAGCGAGAGGAGCGGTCGCTCTAGATGCCAGGTGACAAGAGGTGCCTAAATGCGAAGTTGGGAATAATTGATTTCATATATTTAAGCGATAAAATCCGTAAAATAGATTTCATTTATTGGGAATTATTATTTATTAATATAAACTGAAATACGTTAAATGTGATGTAAAAGCGTCTACCAAAGACCGAGAGACTATCTCACTCTACCCCGATCAAGAGCTAGGGCCCGCGTTGACAATAACAAGCAGTTCTTCCTTCCAGTGCAATGAATAAGCATCACAATGAGTAGCTATTTTGAGAAACAATGCTAAACGCAGTTTTCATGCCCAGGGAAAAATTTGAGCGCATGCAGTACAAATAGTTGTAAGAACTTATCAAATCTAAAACCTAGTTACCAAAAATATTATAATAAATAAAACCACTTTCAAGATGCGGGGAAATACATTTTACATTACACAGCACAATTTATTATAAAAAAGGTACACAAATTTAAAAAAAAATGTGTGTAGGTACTGTACAATAATAATGTTGTGTGGTTTGTTAAGATGTTTGGATTTGTGTTACTTAATCCTGTATAAGCGCCTAAGCAGGATGGAACTTGGCAAACAATAGACCATGTCCTAGAATAATATTTACCACGAGAAAATAAGTTTCCGCGAAAAACTAAACATGAAGGTGTTTCTATTTTCACGCTGCCGGAGACGCAAGCAGAAGTATTAAATAAGTGTGTCACTTGGCGTATTTATGAGCTTATAATAAGGTCGGGGAAAAAGTTTCTTAGTATTTTGTTTTACAATTGAAAAAAATCTCTTTGTTTGTACTGTTTGTATCTAAATGAAAAATGAAAAATGTCCGCCAAAATGAGTGAATCTAACAAAGAAATTCGATACATGCTGAAGTTTTATAACAAACTAGCTGTTTCCGACGACTTCGCCCACGTGGAGTTATTTTTCGCGGAACCCTATAATAAAAGTAGCCCAAGTTACTCCTTATAACATCAGCTATCTGCCAGTGTGTATAAATATTGACAAATATTGACATTAATATTTATATGATACTAAAGTCACTCAATTGTTTTGCCTTCCCGGAACCCCTCCACTAACACTTAAACTTTATGGTATGGTATTAAAGTTCAATTTGACTTTTAAGTATTATTACGAATCATTTGTATGGGAATATAGAAAAGTGTTGTTTTTAGACTTTTTCAGGCAATTTTTTAAATTTTTCTCTCGGTAAGAACCATCTTCGTACTTTAAGAAAAAAGAATTAGCGAAATCGGTTTAGCTGCTCTAGAGATTTGCGCTTAGGAACACATTCAGCGATTAATTTTTTTTTATTACAAATATGGGGAAAATGCGACTAGAGCCAAGAAAAAAAATTTGTGACGTTTATAGACCTAAGTGGTCTATCATCATGATAACGCCAGACTACACACATCTTGGGCCACTCAGCAAACATTGAGAGAGCATGGTTGTGTTAATGAATCCACCATATAGTCCTGACCTTGGACCCTCAGATTTTCACCTGTCCTGGTCTCTTCAGAATTCTTTGGGTAGTGTTAGGGCTGTCAAAACTACTTGTGCATTTTTTTGATCCAAAATCCCAAGATTTATACAATAACGGGATTATGGCACTACCTATAAGATGGCAACAAGTTATCGAACAAAATCGTACATATATATTAAAATTAAACGTAGTAAAAAAATTCTTAAATTTGTATATAAAATACTTATGAAGAAACTTTTTCCCCAACCTTTTAATATGCGGGGAAAATACTTAGTGACAAACGAGGGTTTTTGTATTAGTTAATATACTGCAAAAACTATATAAAAGAATTACATACCTATCAAAATTAATTAAAAAAAATGTATGTTTTTGAAATTGTCATGTATCTCTTAAGCCGAGTCTTCTGCTCGTGTTTTGTTCCATAAACAACATAAAATTATATACACCAAAGACAGCTTTGTTTTTATTACACTTAGCATTTTGCTGATATCCACAATATTTTTGCATTCCGCGTCCTCATTTGCCTTTGAGCCAATAAAGAGAGCTAAGGTAATTGAACTGTGAGTATCGTAAGAGGCGACAGAGGGAAATTGAGACAGAAGGGCAGCAGCATCTTTCTGATAACAGCAAAACTACAATAAAAAACTGCGGTTGCCAACCCATGAGCAACGACATAAAAAAACAGCCACCAATCCCGCACGGCGGTCACGCTATTCCTGGCTGCGGTAGCATGGTAACGGCTGGACAGGGGGTGTTAAGAATCTCCGATGGAGGTTTGGTTGTCACGTACGACGACTCTACCTGGCAACATTCAACGCACGCACTCTGGAAGTGGAATAAATGTATGAGGATACTTCTAGAACCATGAATTCCTTCAAAACCCACTATACGGTGTTAATGAGAGACTTCAACGCAAAACTATACTCCACCAAATCTTAGCAATACCTTTTGACTTCCGTATTGGCTACCGACACAAAAAAAAACTGACAAACGAAAATAATTATTTAGTGACATGAATGCAAAGAATAACATCTTAACGACAAATTAAATGTATAATCAATTGGGACAACTTTACATTCATTCATGAAACCTGGCTAAACGCCAACAACACTGTGCCGAAGACATGGACAGATGACATATACCCGTGGGAAAAGGTAGGCGCCTACTAATTTGCCATGTGGGATCCGCCGGAGGAAGTTTCTAGAAAATACGACTACTACACAAGGGATTACTGGACAAAAAGGTGTAGAAAACAAAATTGTTATGAAGGACTATGAAAGAGATATTCAATTTGAATGCATTTTAGAAAATCAAATAAAAATGAATGTAAACAACGATGATGACGGCGACAGCTTAGCAAGTTGTAGGGAGTGATTAAATAAATTTTTAATCTAGTGCAGTCTTTAATTTATATAACTTTATTTTTACAAATTAGCATTAGCAGTAAACAATAAATATAAAGAAACTAATAACTATTGTGTTTTGAGTTATCTGTTTCTAATTTATTTTGGTATTAATCTAGATAAACTGTAAATTACCAACTCTAAAGAATCGATATCGATTTATCTTATGAACCGAATATTGTAGGTAATGCTTTTTCAGTTGAAATGCCTAGTTTAATAAATGTAACAGTTGTCAAAAAGCATTATTTTGATTTGGTGGAGTATAGGCACAAGAGAGAACGGTGAGCTAAAGGCAGGGAAATTCAGGATAGGACAACAGAACCCAAGGGGCCTACTTCATGGAGAAAGAGGGACTCTTTTTGTCCAGAAGCGGCCCTGTAGAAAGTGGACCTGATCAAGCTCCGGCGGTTCGACAAAAAATTAGATTGACTTTATTATGACAAAGACGGCAAATGTTCAGTGATGTCTCAGTAATCGCGAGGGTGAAAACTGGTAGCGATCACTGTATGGTAAGAGGCACATTGAACCTTAACCGTCCCCCTCGTGCTCATCTCAATGTGGCTACAAAAGACAATCTAATCGATAAATTATTATTATTTTAATATATTTAGCGATGTTTCCGAACACTGGGAATCAGATTCATCAAAATGTATTCTTACGATATCTGAATGAAATTCTCTATTACTAGGGGCGTTCAATAAAAAGTAAAAATGGGAGTTGCCGTTACACCTTAAGTTCACTGGTGCACATAGGCCTCCCCACAGATTGCGTCATAGGGGGGATATTTGCTATAATTGACGAGTGGGTTGGCAAGCGCAGTTTTTTTGTTGTTGTAAGGGGGACGCTACTGCTCATCTCAAGGTTTGCTACCCTCTGTTGCCTCTTACGACACCCAAGGGACGATATGGGGTGGTGAATACTCTTTCACCGCCACTACACGGTTGGAGTATATCAAAGAGCATGTTACAGGAACTTTTTTAAATGTTACGTTATTTATCTCATTTTACCTTATTTTTTTTTACTTTATTTTTGTCTTTTCATTTTTTCACTAGAGATGATTTTTTTCTAAGCTTGAAATTCTCTTCCTAAAGAACTGGCGGACAATTGAAATACTTTCAAAGCCAGCATCTCGAATTGCAGCAATCGTCTTTTGGTGAAAAAAAAAAGAAACTGCGAGTTTGCCCCTCTTCGCCGTTTCTCGTGGATTTCTTTGAACAATTTTTTTTACTTGTTTTGCAGACAAAGTATCCATAACAGAAGCTTCGAGATCAAGATATTATTCAATCATTACTAACCCTTAACTATCACACATAGGCATGATCTTACCTTGAAATCGCCTTGAATTTATTATGAGTTATAGATTTTCTTTTCTATAGGTCTTTCCAAGTATTTCTTACGGTTAACGGTACTTCTTTGGTCTCTTCAATAACTGTCATTTCATCTCGGGATTGTAATTGCGAAGTCACGTTTCGTGCATTGTTATAAATCGAGCCAAAACGATCAGCATCTTGTTCCAATAGTTTTAAAAAAATCTCGGGAAATATTTAGTCTGGTTTGTTTCTGCACATCGACCAGCACTCCGGGTACCCAGCGCGCGGATAGTCTTTTCATCCCCAAGCGTTCATGTAAAACGATTTGTACGCTACTCGTCAAAGTCTTTATTTCTTTAACAATAAAGCTAGTAAGACAGTTATGAATCACTTTCTTATAATATAATTTCGGTATATAGTTATATCTATAGGGATATAACTTTATCACGGCTTCAACCACCTTACTGCGACATATTATATACTTTAAAACAGAAATTTACAACGACGACGCTACTCGCGGACCACGAAGCTGTACAGTTAAAAGAGTCACTACAACACACACTACAAAATATAAACAACAAATACACAATACAAGGGGAAAAATTTTATATGATATGTAAAAACCTTTTTCGATATGAAAGGAGCACATAGGTATAGATAAATGGCAAAATATTAATGAATATAAAATCTTATTATTATTTAAAACACATATTTTAACTACAATTTTCTGCAACGAAGTCATCGGCGGTATTATCTTTTAACTTGTAGCAGTAATAGTGTCGGCATCGTCAAAGGTTCAAAAGTAACACTTTAACCACCGTAGCGCGAATAAAAAACAACTGCCGTATACACACACAAACATGTTTAAAACACGTGTATGATGACATCTTAACTTTGTAATTCCAAACTTTGTAAATTCACTCGTGCACAGATTGTTTCAGATTGTTCATTTGTCTATATTGCTATATGTCTGGCCAAAGTCATGTACGACGCGCGGGAACCACACCAACAGGTAAACTTGACGTTTCGGGACGTTCATCAACATTGACCGTGTGTACACGTCAATGTTGGCGCACATTGGCGCTTTATAGTGGTCATTTACGTTGCTTTAAGCGTATGTTAATATGTGGGTAGCAGGACTGCAATTGTGCAGCATTTGCGTTTTTTAAATAATTGTTTCTAACGAACAAACTTTTCACGAACAAGTGAAACCGGGAGTAGACAGAGGTCAACGTCGTGAGCTCTAGATAGTTACCCGATCCGCCCGCGGTACATATTGCCATGTAAGTTTCCCATTTATTAAGGTTTATTTAATTTTTTGCGATATTTTTTACTTTCTCTGAAAAGGATTAAATGAATAGAATAGTAACACGATATTTACAAACAAAACCGTCACGGATTGGTCAACGTTTTTTTTTTTACATATTATATACACACACATATATTTTGTACCTACTTAATATATCAGCAAAACACACAGGAGACCCGGTTTTAGACTCTTGAAAAGTAAAAAATAAATATAAAATATAGTACTTTGTGTCAACGTGATGCTATTATTTAAAAACCTTAACAACATGCGAGTTAAATATATCTTCAATTTTTCATGCCAATCGGTTTCATGTTTATATAAGGTGAAAATATACTATGTGTAAAAATATAAAAATATCTGCAATTTTATAATGTGACTAATAGTACTGATGAGTATTGTAGTCAACAATTTGGGATTTTATGGGACAGTCAATTTCTTTATTTGTAAAAATTCTGATGCGTAAAATGCGCCACGCTTAGTTTCGTCTATACCATGTGGACATTTAGAAGATAGTCATTTAAAGTTGTAACGTCACCATTGATACATAACATGGAAATTAAAATAGTGGAAACAATTATTAACTGCCAGTTCATGAGGTACCTTGAGGATCAACAGCTGATTAGAGACCGCCAGTAGGGTTTCTGTCGAGGTCGCTCAGCTGGTGATCTTCTAGGTTACCTAACTCATAGATGGGCGGAGGCAGTGGAGTCCGAGAGGGAGGCATTGGTCGTTAGTTTGGACATAGCGAAGGTCTTCGATCGGGTTTGGCACAAAGCACTTCTTTCGAAGCTTCTTTCCTATGGGCTTCCCGAGAAATTGTGCAATTGGATCACCAGTTTTCTTGCAAATCGGAGCATCAATGTCGTAGTAGACGGTGCATGATCCGATTACAACCCCATTACCGCTGGTGTTCCAAAAGTTCTGCATATCAATGATATGTTCAAACTCTGTCTTGGTTAACATTTGATAGCAACTTTATACACCGGACGTGCCAATATTTCTCGGGAAAACGTCGCCGAGTACCGGAACAGACTTACAGAATACAATCCCCAGAAGACACAATTTTGCGCGTTTACCGGTAATAAGAACCACTTTGTCAAAAATCAAATTTGCCTTTATACAGGTTGGAATGCTCAGCAGAGCGGGACAATATTTCATGCCGGTACACCGCCTGCAACTTTACAAGGCGAACGTTCGGCCTCACATGGCCCAACATCTCTGGGCTGGAGCTCCCCAGTGAAAGCTCCTTCCATTATTTGATCGCATCTAGCGCAGACCGAGCGACCGAGCTCTTTCTGATCGGCTTGACACATTGGCACTGCGAAAAGATGTTGCATCTCTTTGCGAATTTTATCGCATCTACCACGGAGAGTGCTCTGAGAAATTGTTCGGGACTAACTCCAGCCGCTCAATTTCACCATCACCCATCGCGACAAAACTCGCGATACCATCCATACCGTCTGAATGATTGGCGGTCCACCTCTGTGTGATTTACAAGTTTTTCTTTCTCGCACAACTTCCTTGTGGAATCGACTACTACCAGCGATTTTACTGGACCGATACTACTTAAGGACCTACAATAAAAGAGCCTACTCCTTTTTAAAAGGCCGGCAACGCATATGCAACTCCCCTGGTGTTGCAGTTGTTCATGGGTGGCGGTAGTTACTTACCATCAGGTGAGCCGCATGCTCGGTTGCAGTTATTGTCTGAGCTAATATAAATCCGAAAGAAAAGTAACTTAATACCCCGATATATTTATTATAAAACTGATGACAAATAGATCGACTATTGGAAAAGTAAATAGCACCAGTGTGAATAATATATTGCGTATAAATATCAATTTCTATATGAGTGATCCGGTGTTTAATCACTGTTTAGGCCCAAACATGGGCATTTGAAACGCCATCCAATCGCGTTTGACTAAGCGAATTGCCCGATGGTGTGAGGTGACGTGCGGTCGCCGGGAGGGGAGGGGGGGGGGGGCAGCGGTATGCAGCTTCCCGGCGTTCGGCTCTCGTGGGCGAGACAGTAGCTTGATAGCAGCGGCGTGGTCGATTAACGTATTTTGTGGTGACCGCTGCAGCGGTTTCACGCGACCAGTTTTGGTTTTGTGGTCTAGATTTTAAGTATTTGTGCGCGTTTAATTCGCTATTAAATTTGGGGTTTCGTGGAGACCGCCTCGAGTAAGTTTGTCTGAGTTGTACGTTCGTGACAAGAGGCTTGTATTGAATTTGAGTGATTAGAGTAATTTCGTTGCAATTGTACGTTAAGAGCCTTATGTGTGTTGACTCTGTAGTTAGTTTGCGTGTCAGCTAGGCGGATTTTGAATTCTTATTGCGGCGTAGTATTTAACATCGTAAGAAGGAATTTAGTTTATTGTTTGTAATGCGGAACTTTGTGGCACTAGTCGCGTTCGGTTCTAGAAATAATTTGTTGCTGAGTGAAAACGGAAGTGAACTTTGATCCACCGTTCATTAGTCGTGCCGTGTGTTACGTTTTTGATTACGATTAACGGGGATTTAGTTGAGTTTGAAGTTAATTAAATGTACAATAAAATTGATGGATTGAAATAGTGTACAATAAAGTTGATAGACTGAAATAGTGAAATGAAGAAAGAAGTTGTCAATTGGTGACGTCCGCTGGAGTGATACAACATGGTGGGGCAGCATATACAATGAGTAAAATATTTAAAATTTAAAGATGTGTTAAAAACAACTGCATTTGTAGTTAATTGAAAATATATATAAATCGAACAGATTAGAAACATTATGAAAGTGAGGGTGGTATAAAATACAACTAAAAATAAAAGACAATCTGTGATACATAATATAACACAACCACAACTGTCTTACTACATATAAAACTAGTACTTATGAAAATAGTTGAATAAAATGAGTCAGTTTCAGAGTGCAGTTAAGACATAGGATATAATATGGGCCATAATTGTGAATAGGTAAATAAATGTCAGCCTTAAAAACGCCACAATGCTTTCAAACCACCACATCATTCACGTTATGTCAAACTCACCCGAAACTAACTCTACCAAAGGTGTTGATGAAAAACGCGGTAGGGTTGCTTGACCTGTAGAAGAAATTAAACAAAAAAAAAGCAAACAAAAAATCACAAATACTTATGCAAGCTCTGAAGCCGCGTTGCAAAAACAAGAACCACTCTATCAAACATTAAAATAAATGACAAAATCTTAAGTTATTCATTGTGAACACAAAATACCATTTATCATTTGTCATATACATTTATTTAAACGAATATTGGATAAAAATAAAAAAAATCCTTTAAATTAACATAAACAATATATTATTTTGATGTAGTACATGACAAATGAAGCATTTCTACAGTGCAGTGCTCATAAAATTTGTCATATATAGTTCATAATCTACAATGGCAGCAACATTCACTAAACTACTTACAACCTAAAAAATGCGCCAAATCATTGACCATATGCCCCAGGCAATACACAAAACTAATGACGGATGTGAAATAAGTATTAATGTAATTTTGTTAACGTGAGGTAAAGAAACATTTATGTGCATCTCTTCCAGGTATATATCACTCAAAATATTTAAAGTAATTAAAAACTTTTTGCGATTAGTGTGAAATTACTTAGTAAGACTAAGCATCAAAAAACTTATTCAAATAATGGCAACTTCCTTATCGATAGATATGTGTTCAATACATGAATAAAAATCACAACTTACTTAAGAAAATGTTCATTTTCTTCGTTCATTTTATCTGCGTCTTTAGCTTTGTATTTAATGAGTCTCTCTACCAAGGTTCGATTTTCATCCTGAAAAAAATGTAATCATACTTTTATAAACTAGGTATTACATCTAAATAAAAGATTAAATCACTATAAAAAATTCATCTTACTCGTTTACGCATTTTTATATTAAACAGTAAAATATCACTGAATAAAGTCACTAAAAACTGTTATTTAAAACTGAACAGTATACACTTTGATCACAAAATTTCGACTGGAGTCCGTTTTGATGAATCTATAGAGTACCTCTGTATACTAACGCCTATGCATAAACATTCGATACACACAGCGGTAATCACATGAAAGTCGTAAAATATACAGCATGTTACATTTTACGGCACTAAAGACATCGTCTATATTATGTCTTGCGTCTTAATTTGTTAATGGAAAGAAACGTTGACTCGATCTATAAATAAGCAATTATAGGACACATTTAACGGCAGTTAACATATTAGTAGTGATAGGCTAAGATGATTTTAAAAGTAGTTTCGTTACGTCTTTGCTGATAGGCACATATATTAACAGGAAACTAAAATATTTTCTTAGTATATATTCCAAAAAATCATTCGCACTCAGTATTCATATTACACAGCAGTGGGACATATATATAGCCTGTAGCTTTAAATTTCTATAAGTTTATTAAGATATTTTAGACCTCAGTTTTCAATAATTGCTCATGTTTTTTCTAACAGTGACAATTATTTAATTAAGTACTAAGTACAAACTAAATGTAAATACTAACCAACAAAAATCAAATAAGTACGCTATTATAATATACCATTAATAACATTATCATTACAGTCCGACAAGAGGCCTCAAAAACCCCTACTGCATCACTCGAATCATGCATATAATATTGTCTCATCTAATGAAAGCAAGAAAAAAAGGAAGCCCCCACACTGTGCTTGCCAACCACTAGACTACCTTCCTTCCCCATCTGTTGACTGTTCTTTAACCGAGATCCTAAAACCACAAGGTTTTGTATTCGGCGTGTACCTATGTTTTTTTATGTATGTTCAGCGAATTCTCCGAAACGTAAAAGTTCGAAAAAGTTTTTTTTATTAAACTATTTAGACACCATTCTATTTGTTACCTTAACCTATTAAAATTCTTAACTACACTAAAAACGGTAATATATTTGAACTTTAAAAAAGTAAAATCAAATTCAAAAACAAAAGACAATTAATTTTCCTGAAGTCGGGACACCACAATAATTATTGGTTTTTGTAGTCTGTTTCACTTTTTTAAAGCTTATTAAGTTATATGGTTGTCATATCAACACTTTGGGTTCATTGTTTGCTGGATTTACAAAATATCTCAAGGATTATCAAGCATCTCCGCGTTTTGAATTCTATCATGCAAAGCAATTCAGAGCTTAATCCTCCATACATATATCCCAGCGTAGATATCGTAAGTAAATTTAATTATGAGAATTTCGTATCAGACATATATCAATTACGTATGAATAAACTAATTATGAAATATCTTTCCACATATCAAGTGTAAAATAAATAAATATACCATAATAGAATAAGCCGACCTTGGGATCTACGGAATTTTTTTGCGTATTCAAATTATAATAAGAATCATACTGAATATGATGGACAAATCCTCGATTTGGTTTGGCAAATTGCCACAAATCCAATGATGTAATAAAAAATTGAAGTTTTAGTAGAATAGTCGGATTGATCCTAGTGACGCATACGAACTAGCGCTGATGGGAGCAGTGGAACACGATTTACTTCGTGTATAATTAGGTGAGGAATACAAACTCACAATTGCCTTTTGTAATGAACTTCGTACGTAAGTCTATGTTGTAAGCCGAACATCAGTTTAGTAATAATGTTAAAAATAATGTGTAACGCGTAAACTATACCATGTGCAGATTTTTAAATAGATAAGTCGGTCATGTATACCTTGAAGTCAAAAAATGATCACACAATATGTTGCCTGTATTTATTTAACTCAGAGAATAATTAAAATAGTTTTTGTTAATGTTACAAAAAAATTGATAATGTTAGTAAAATTTTTTTTGGTAATGTAAGAAAAAAAAATTGTAAATTTTAAATATAATGCTAAAATTGTTTAGGACACTATTGAGTTCAGAACAGTGACAAGAGAATATATTTTGTAAAAAACCAAGCTTAAGAGCAATTACAGTCTTTCTATTATAACAGTGACTTATGTAAAATTTAACAGTTTTTCCAAGCATAAATTGTCCCTGCATTTTAGTATAAACATTATCGTTTTTATGATGTAATGTAGTTAAATAAGTATATTTTGCAATTAATGATAAGTAAAAGTAGTTTAAAATTCTCAACTTATCAAAATATAAAAAATTTGTATGTAACTACAATGTGAACCCATCAAATATTGAGTTGGATGACACTCCTACAATAAAATAAAACAGTCAAATAGTTTCAGTAGTTCAATTAATTATATTTGCTTCATTAAAAAAAGTTAACATGTATTAGTATGAATTTAAAGATAAATAAATTTCTAATCATACTGAATTTTTTTTCTAATGAAATTGTATCATTATTTTTAAAAGTGAGAATTATATAAATAATATTAGTACCTGAGCTTTTCTTAATTTGTCTTCTATAGCTGCAAAAGCAATTTGTAATGCTTGATGTTCATCTCTTAATACTTGATTAAGTCCTTGTAACTCAGTCATATTATTTTCATACATTTGGATTTCAGCTCTGAGTGAAGCTATTAATGCAGTGTTTTCTGAAATTCTAAAAATTGTATTTAGTGAGAGGTGATTATAAAAAAAAGTCGGTATTACAGTATAGAAGTAATTAGCTAAAGCGCTGAGTGGCGGGTTTGATTCATACAAACATTATTATGTAATATTCACATCCCCTTCCAATTTTCTGTTTTACAAATATTTTTCTATACACAAACTAATCAGCAAATACAATATACGACAGTAAATTTTAGAGTGTAGTAATGTAAAAATTACCTCTTGAGAGAGATGGTATGAAATACCTTATTTTCTACCGACTTCAAAAAGGAGCAGGTACTCAATTCTACTGTATGCTTTTATGTGTGTTACCTCATAACTTTGTTCTACGTGAACTGATTTCGATGATTCTTTTTTATTTGAAAGATAGTGCTTCTCATATAGTCCCATATAAATTTGATCAAGGTCTGACCAATAGTTTTTGAGTTATCCTTAATAATATATATTAAAGTCGGTTGTACAAAATTTTTGATTTTAATTTTTTTTTTTAATAATATGAGTGGCATATAAAAGTCGATAAAAACGGGACTTGTTTAAAAAACGAAAATAAAAAACTAAAGTAGAAAATTACAATGCTTTAAAAATTGTTATGCATTATTATTTACTTTACAATAGATTGTAATGGGTGCGAATTTCCAAAGTCAAAATTTTGTCCACATTTCAAGGTCTTTGGAGTTGGGTGCTATGGTTTTTATCAAAAGCGGTCTGACAGTTTTTTTTTATGATTAAACTAAAGGAAAAAATTATAAAGTAACTGAATTTCACCATACCACTACGTTAGTACTATTAACTCATGCAAGATTGAACATGCGTCCAGGAAAGTTCACTGTTGGACAAGGGCCACTTCCTTCGTACGGAGGTTTTCCCTTAATATTCAAGTGCTGACCTCAGCACCAGACATGAGCACGCTGCCCAGCATACCCATCACCGATCTGGTTATTTTACGTCTGGCGTAAATAGATAGTTATACCACCATCTATTGGGTACCATGAGGTCTTTCTAGCATTTTCCTTAGTTCTTCCGATACCCATGGGACGAAATGGGGTGATTTATTATTATATCACCTATATTCATCTGCGTGTGTGTGTGTGTGCGTACGTGCGTGCGTACGACAGTGCGTGCGTACGTTTATATTGTTGACCTATGAAATGCAATTTGCCCAATCTAGGGTAAACAGTACTAATGTTGGCACTCCTTCAATGATTGGCACTTTGCTATTTTAATCTGAATATTAAGAATGTTTTCCTTTTTCTATATCACAGCTACACAGATATTGCTAAGATATATAATTACTTATGCTAACAATACACATTTATATTTAAAGCGTCAACTATTTTCCTATAAGGGCTGTTTTAAAAATGTGTGTGGACAAATCGTTAAAATTTAACAAAAAGTTAAGGTTTTGTGGCTAGATTTTGAGACAAAAATGTGATTTTTAGGTAAGTTCATATGCAATTTTCTGTCTATTTTTATCAATTTACGCCATTAAAGCATATTAAACGTTATTTTATCGTTGTGAAATAGAAGCATCGGTTTTTTTAATTGTGTCAATGACTATTCTATACTTTGTTTGACTACATAATCATTGGCATATATGTCAATCACTATACTTTCTTTCTTTTGTACAAAATTTATTTTTGACACTGCCAATGACTATATCCTTTGAGTAGTGCCAATGATTATGACTGACCTTTTTCATATTTTGAATTGATGAACAATACCGCTATTAAGAGCGGGCGCTTTAGAAAAGTAACTGCCGCACTAACATTTAACATTCCACGCGCGAATTTACAGTTCCCACTAAATAAGTAAAGTCAAAAAAATTAAGAAGCTGAACAGCCGACCTGGTCCTGGCACAGTTTTCGATGTCATAAAAATGCCAATGATGTGAGTTTATTATTAACCGTTTTATAGGGGGAGAATAAAACGTCTATGAGGTGGATCATGCCTAATCGAAGTCTTGCATCACTGTTCTTTGGAGTATACGGTAAAATCTATTATTTTCCCCTTATAGAAAATGTAATCAGACGTTCAAAAGTTAGTGCCTAGGTCAGCCAACTTTGCCCAAGTCTCGCCATAATACTTGTAGCCCTTAACCTGAATGCAACGCGACTATTGCAACCACTGCATTTCGGCCCACCAAAGATATGTGGCGTAAACCTGTCTTCGAATGACGGACAAGCAATTTGACAAAAAGACTAAAACAGATGCAGGCCTATATTAGCAAGACTTTTACCGTATTGAAACAAATCTACATTATGAAATGGTTTTGAGACATGTGGCTTGTGCCCATTTAGTCCAGACAAACTGGATTAAACAAAGAGTCCGATGCGCTCGAAATCACAGCAAGCCATTTTAGATGATCGCCGTTCCGTGCTATTACTCCGAATTACCTAATATTTTAATAATAACGACTAATAATGATTGAATTAGAAATACCTGTATCAAATTTGCCTTGTATCCTTTCACTTAATAATGGTCTATCAGTACCAGAGCGTATACAACCTGCAGAGATTATTGTTGAGTATCAGAAAGAAAACTAACCCTTATGTTTTTCATCAACTAGGCAGCAAATTTAGAATTTGTTGGAGGTGAATGGGTGATCGTGAATGTTGAAACAAACAAAAATCTTTTAAAAAGCCCTAAAAATATTTATAGTTTTTTCCATTGCCAAATACGTATCAAAAAGCAAAAAGCAGGTAAACAACGCCGTTATTTTGTGCTAACAAGTGAAGATTCGGAAGCAGCGGAGCTAAAAAAATAATGGAAAAATTGGGCACAAATGGAAAGTGCAGAATTGAATTTGTCAGCCAAATATAGAAACAAACTGACAAATAAAACAAGACGAACGAAGACAAAAACTCAGACATTATAATACTCTCTAAATGTTTAATCTAAAAAACCGAAATAAAGTTCTATTTCTACAAAATATCGAGAAAATATAAACGTTTTACTAAAAAGTCACATCAAAAATATTTTTTTTTATATGATAGGGTGACAAACGAGCACACAGTCCACCTGATGGTAAGTAGTTGCTGTTGCCCATAGACATCGACATCTATCCTCATTTGCGAATCAAAATGCAGATGCGTTGTCACCTGTGAGGACTAAGATGGAATGCCTCTTTTCCAGTAAAAAGAGTCTCCGGTTCTCTACACTCACCATACGAAACACAGCAGTGTTAAGCTGCTATTTGACGCTGGTATTCTGTGAGAGCGTGGTCCTTCCCCGGTCGAGCCGACCCATTCGTGCTACAACTATAGCTGCAGCATGGCTCTACCACGTACAAAATATATACGAAGAAAGAAAAAAACATGGTAGACCAACGAAACCGCTTTCAGATGAAGATCTAAGGAAAAATTTTGAAGAAGATTTGTTCAAAATAACTCTTATAACAATAAGATGGAGCTTAGAAAGATCTGGGTATAACTTTTTAAGACTTCCAATGGTGCCAATGATTATACTTAATTTACAGTGCCATTCACTATGCTAAAGTGCCAATGATTGTAACATTCCTTAGAAAAAAGTTTAATTAGATTTTTAACTTAATTAAACATTTATTTTTAAACGTAATGCGTTATTTTATTTATGGCTATCTAAACTAAAATCCAACAAAACAATAAAAAATACAACAAATTTGTTTATTTACGAGAAGTAACCAATTACAAGTAGAAATCTGCTTAAAGTGCCAATCATTATACTGTTTACCCTACACGGCAATTTTTTAATATTTAAAAAAAGTGATGACATTTAATGGTAGGATTCTATTCTGTCTAGGAGTCTGTATTGAGGCTACCACTCTCTTAGCTATTTTTCCCACTAAAAATATCAGTGCTTGCACTACTGTGTTCCGCTGTGAGACATTACATTTTAGTCCTTATATTGTGGTAAAGCAACTGTTCTTGTTACGAATAAATTACCAATGTGCTATGGTACATTTAATCTCTTTAAACTTAACTTTTATTAATTAAAAATTAAAAATACGGACACTTTCGGACAAAGTTGGAATGTTTTAATAGATATCTCGGCTTTAGGTTCTTATCCTATGAAATACAGCAAAGGCACTAATTAGACCGATATTCCATAATAGTTTGGTTACATCCTGGACGTGATGAATAATTTCTAACCCACATCATCACGCAACTAGCAAGATATATAATATACATTTTTTTTCAATTAGTTATTAATAAATAATCTGTAACTGATACATATACAGGATTAATTTGCGATAACCGGCCAAATTTGCAGAGAAGGTTCAGAATAAGTTATATAAGCAAATGGTGAAGAAAAATTTATTAAAAAAAATCTCAAACATTATGTCTTTTTTATCTTTGAAATTCAATATGCATTATTTTAACTGATTTTACTGCGCACGCAAACATTCGTAAGGGTCGATCGGTAAGCAAAAATGTTGTTGCCCATAAATCTGCCCAAAAAACTGCAATAAAGGTATATCATTATTTATACATTTGAACTTAAGTTCAAAATTTGGCTACTCTTTGAAAAATAACCCTGTATATTAAGTATATTTAATTATTTCACCATTTAAAATAATGTCTATTATTTATAATATATTTCTTCTGCAATGCCTGCTATAGATTGTAGCTATTAAAATATATTATACATAAAGCAGCTAAAACTACTATCAGATCTGGTTTAAATTTATGTGGGTCCACTGGATGTTTCATAAAAAAAGAATAATTTCCCTAACATTTTAGTATAGCGGTACATTTAATAAGTCTACTTTTTTTAAAGTTATATCTTCATGAAGAAATCCTGGAGAGTGTGTAATACCTTTTTATTTAATTAATTAACATTTTATTTAGTAGATATAATTTTTTATCTTAATTGATATGAAAATAAATGAAGAATCAATTAAAAACTAAACTGAACAACTAACATAATATCTTTAGCCTGTAGGTTTTTTTCTAGGTCATGCACTCTTGCATTTAAATTTATAATTTGTTGTGCACTTTCTCCACGGCGCCTATGCAAGGATGTCAACTCTTCTTGTTGAGCTAAAATTTTTTGTTCTAAAGCCTGTATTCTTTCATTTCCTGCTGCACCTGAAATATTAGAATGTTTTCCTCATTGGAAATCCTTATTTAATTATAGTATGTGCCTATCACTAAAATTTATATTTATAAATTTAGAAAATGTTCTTAAATCTTTTACATTAAAAATATTAGGGCCTGTAGAATTATCAATATTAGTACTGTGGGTATAGGGAGAAATATAAAATTCAACCCCTAAGGGTGTGAAATAGGGTTTTACAGCTTGTATTTTATATGATCCATTTTTTGTAATTATAGTAAAATATTTAACAAAATATTTATCACTCTACATCTACACTCGAAATATTTTTAAACAGTAATTTTATATTTCTTTCAGTTTATGTTTATACAATAAAAATGTAACAGTTTTTTTATGAGGCAACTGACTGCTAGAGCTATAATAAGTCACAAAGTCTAGTCACAAATTAAAATACAGTTAGGACCAATATGATTTATGCCAACCGTGTAGTGGCTGTGTAAGAATATCCACTACCACATTTCATCCCATGAGTGTTGTAAGAGGCGATGAGAAAAATCAAACAGGAGATGGGCAGCAACAACTGAAAATAACACAAAACTGCAGTTGCCAACCCGCCTGCTAAGCACGGCAGCTATGGCTAACATTCCCCTATGAGGCAATCTACACGAGAGGCTCATGTTTAGCAGACTTTTAATAGGCTGCAAAGGTAATTGTATAAGACTATTACTTTTAGAGGCCGCTTCTAGACATACACTTGCTATAAATAAACTTGTGTAAAAATAACCTCTTTGGATACAATGGAGTAAAATGGTATAGAAAAAGGCAAATATATTCTTTAACGGGGTATCTATTGGGGAGGGCTATGTTCAGTAGTGGACTTTCGTATTACTAAAGATTAATGCCTTAATTATTTCTTAAATGATTGTATTGTTTTAATATTATTTACCATATGAATATTTTCATATCTTAGTAAGGTACATTGTGAATCAAACTAATGTTTTCTTTTATGTAGCCAACATTTGTCAATATCACTACATAATTTTAACGGTTTATTTATTGTTTATAAATAAAATTACACACCTGCAGTAGAATGTGCACTTTCAGAACTAGTGTACCGAATCCTCTCATTAAGTAAAGTTAATTGGAGGTTTTCATTTTTTAATGTATTCACATTATCAAACAGTCTGCTTTCTGAAAAAAAAAAAGAATAAATGAAATGAAATTATGACTACTTCTAACTTACTTTCCACTTACATAGATATAAAATTCAACACTACCTTTTGTCCTGTAGGTGTTGTAAAAGGCATCTATGGCAAATACAAGAAAAAACTTATGGCTTCCTATAATATATGGCATAATAGCTATTACATTTCCACCTGACATAAAATACACAGGCTGGGTATGAGCAGCAATATCAAAGAGACACCTGGTATTGCAATTGTCAATCTGCTTACCAGAGATGGCAATTATGGCAGACTTTGAACTTTGATGTTGAATGACTATTTCAGACAATAGGCACAGATCAAGTAGCTCGCATTAGTGATTTTACGATTTTTAGTTGGTGTCATATTTATTCTGTCCATCATAGTAATTTTGAGAGGAGAGGGTACCCAATGTCTCATAGTGATTGGCAGTATTGCTGTTGGTGTGCATTCTTCATTTACTTTGATTATATTTTGTATTTACTTTTAAACACGGTAGGTGTTTAATGTTGTTGTGATGAATGTTTTATAATGTTGAGTTGTTACCAAGAAATATTCATTTAATTAAATTTAAATAATTAAGATAATAACATATGTCTATTTCTATATTAACAACAAACTGTCTACTCATACTGTATAATATACAATACCAGCTGGTACCCTGTACATTGCTGCCACAGAAAAATAATTGTGGAATTATAGTTTCAAATTTGGAAGAGTAATATTGTTCAATTAGGAATGATAATACATTTATTGAAGTTGAGTGATATATTACTTTCAAATAAATTTGTCGGTATGATACACGCACCACCTACTGTAAGTTAATTGTACTATGCCTATAACCTTTGCAATCTGATGAACGATATGGCAGCACATAAAATACAAACAAACAATGTTTTTTTTTACAGGGTATGGTGACAAACTAGCACACAGTCCACCTGATGGTAAGTGGTTGCTGTTACCCATAGACATCTACATCTATCCTCAACAAAGAATCAAAATGCAGATGCGTTGTCACCCATGAGGACTAAGATGGAATGCCTGTTTTCCAGTAAAACAGGTCTCCGGTTCTTTACACTTACCATACGAAACACAGCAGTGTTTAGCTACTATTTTATGCTGGTATTCTGTGAGAGCGTGGTCCTTCTCTGGTGGAACTGACCCATTTGTGCTATAACTATACTACTAACATAGCTGCAGCATGGCTCTATCACATCCAAAAAATATTTTTTTTTGTATGCGGTAGAGATAAAATGTAAATGTAAAATAAAAATATATTAGATGAGAAAGCAATAAAACGTAAAAGATCATCATCATTTTCAACTGAGCCTAGTTTCACACTATTCCATTTATAATGAGTGTGGTGACAGTATAACAGTTATAATTACAAAATTTCATATTTATAGAAGTGATAGATAACTTGTACCTAAACAGCAGCATTTAATATAGAGATTATGAAGTGAACATTTATTTGTTGTAGTTTACTTAATTTTAAAACGCTAAAAGGGTTTACCTACAATTTCTCAATTTTTAAATACAAATATTTACTTTTAATTAATTGGTAAGGAATCCAGAGTTAAAAATGTTTTATGAATACTATCGTGAATAGCATATTATTTTAAATTTTGAGAAAACTAAGAGCAATGAACAACTTTCTGGTGGGTTATAAAGACACAAAGATAAATAAGTAAATAGAGGTTATTACTTACGAAATGTAATTATATCGTGAAATGCAGTTGTTTCTCTTTTGTTTCTTGACTGTAATTGATTAACAATGATGTCTCTCCACTGTCTACCTTCCATTATAGATCACAAACTCAAATCATTTATCTAAAATAATTATTTTTGTAATTATTGATACCAAAACAAACAGATGTCAAACGAATTGTACTTTGATTATAACCTATTGTTACTGAGAAACGTAGATAAACTTATAATATTCTAAAAAGTAATATGTAAAACTTTTAAGAATATAAAAGAACAAATTAAATGAGAATAATATTTATGTTTCATAAGTATGTCTACTTCGTAATTAATTGTTTCTCTTTTCTAACTGGTGTTTATCTGTCAGGTCGGTTCTGTGTTCTGTCAAAACACGATAGTCAAAAGAAATGAGATCATGCAGGATTACAAATATAGCATGTATTTTTAATGAGAATATTTTTCGATAATAATATTATACAACAAACAATGCCTATTCATTATAAGTAAACTGTAGCTCAGTTTATTTAGTATATTATTAGTAATCTATGTCAGTTCTCTGGTGAAAAGCAAGTGTGTATGAATGGTACTTCTAGCACAAGAATATAAAACCGAACAGAATGAAAGCTTCCTAAGTGCTTGTCCACGTAAACTCGTGGGCGCAGTCGCTGGCGCGGTCACGAAATATCATAAGGCCTGTTTTCACTTTGATTAGTGCGAGTGCAGGTAATTAGTAATTGCGGGTGAATAGTGCAGGTGTGTAGTGCGAGTAGTGTCCAATTCTGTTTAGTAGCTGTGTTTAGTAAATTCAGTTGTTAACTGTCGACCAGCAAGTATGAACGCGAATATGTAGACCTTAAGTTTCTTATTTTAGTATAAACTTCTTTACTTCCAAACCCCGGTAGCTTCAATTATAAGTAGGAATGCCGCATCTCAGGCTCCTTTAACTATGCAGTTAGGGTGTTTACTATTGTAAAGACATTGATGTTTTAGTACTCCTGCACAAATTTATAGGTTATGTCTTCGGTCTACTTTGCCATTTTTTACAACACAAGCGAGCGTCTGACGCTAAACTCTAACACTGCTGTCGAGACGTGTTTAGTGGCAGGTATGCTGCGAGTGATGGGGAGGGGAGGGCGCGCAGGGCGTGGAACTCACAGTTCACTCGCAAAAAAATTGAACACGCTTCTAATCACTTTACTATAAGGCCTGTTTTCACTTTGATTAGTGATTAGTGCAGGTGCTTAGTGTTTAGGAGTAAACACGTGTGGACAGCGATTGATTAGTGCAAGTGATTAATTACCTATGTAGTAAAGTGATTAGAAGCGTGTTCTATTTTTTTACGAGTGGACTGCGAGTGTCACGCCCCGCGCGTCTTTCCTTTCCCCTCACTCGCAGCATGCCTGCAACTAAACACGTTTGAACAGCAGTGCTAAGTGTTTAGCGTTTAGCGTCGGACGCTCGCTTCTGTTAAAAAAATGTCCATACTTCCTGGTCGACATTTAACAACTGAATTTACTAAACACAGCCACTAAACAGAATTGGACACTACTTACACTTCACACCTGCACTAATCAACCGCAATTACTAATCACCTGCACTCGCACTAATCAAAGTGAAAACAGGCCTATAAAGGTTACTACTACTGCTACCTGCACTAATCAATCGCTGTCCACACATGTTTACTCCTAATCACTAATCAAAGTGAAAACAGGCCTAAACACATAGCATCGTACAAAAACGCAAGTGCGGTGGAAGTGCGAGCAAGCTAGCGACTATCGCACGCGGCGCGCTCGCGGAAATATCAAACCTATGAAGTTGTTTGCGTGTGTTAACGTCGAACTAGCGGCGGAGCGCGCGATTAACTCGTGACTTCAGGTCAATAATTTTGAACTTGTCGCTACAAACGAACGACCATTCAATCCAATGGACTCGCCCCGCATGATTATTCCCCTCTGCCATTTCTCTATCATTATCACTATCGCTTAAGATAATAATTTTCGATTAAAAATAAAAGTTCGCCTGAGTTCGTAGTCCATGTTCACAACCTCTGACAACACTTCACACTCGCGCAAACGTCTGGCGGCCAACGTGAACATGAGCTCGCCCAAAGCCCAAACCACCGCGCTTACTGCCACCCCCGTGCCCGCGTATTCTACATGAACAAGCACTATGATACTTCAAAATTGTTATCTACTTTCAATAAATAAAAAATGATCAGCAAATTAACTAGTAACAGGCCTGCCTCACACCGCACTTTAGGCATGAAAATATACCTTTGCTGCGCGGCCGATTATATGAGGCTAATTCCGTGAAGTTGTCACGCGCGCGCTCGATCTGACACGCGCCTTACATTAACATAAAAATTATTTTTCTCTAATAAGTATTTAGGCATTCATTTTGATATTTATTTTTGAGTTTTAATTCAAGTATGGTCTCTCAAAAAGCCAAAAATTGCTGCATAGCATACGAGTACTTAAATAACAATATGAATGTCGACTTTTCATTCTTTACTGTTGCTAAGGTCACTGAAAGGTAATATATAATTATTTATAGGTAGATCTAGATAATTAGGTACTTAGTTATTGACGCCATAGTTACAGATTTATTATTTGGTTAGTGACCCGACCACAGCTACGTAGTTTTCGAGTTCCCAAATAAAAATAGAATCATCAAAATCGATTCACCTAGAAAAAAGTTCTAAGGTAACACACATAAAAAAACAGTCGAATTGAGTAGCTCCTCCTTTTTTGAAGTCGGCTAAAAATGGTAAGTATGTAAATTATCTGAGTTTGAACAACGTTGTTATAATCTTAATTTTCCTCGATGTTGCTCGACAGTAGTGTAGTTGTACCACTTCTAGACCACCTGAGTCAGACGTGGTTCAACGACGTTCGTCGACGCCCGATCCTAAAAAAAAAAAAAAAAAAAAAAAACAAAAAAAAAAAAAGGTTTTGGCATGCTCTGATCACGAATCCGCGGTCCATTTTTGTGTAGAATGCACGGTTCCGGAGATGTGTAGATCAATTAGCTAATATCTAATTGATATCCGGTAAGGGCCTCCACCGTCATTAGCGTCCCATTGTTGTTCCTATTTCTATTGTTCTATTGTTCCTTAATCACCTTCATTGCAGCGTGTGCGTCGACTATATCAGTGCTATTGTTTATTATAATTCTTTGTTTATACAACGCTAATCTGAATCATCAATAAAACACATTACATAATTTTGTTACAATTTTTATTTATAAAATACAAAATCTTATTAATTATTATCTATAAAATAGGAGCGAAACATCTCATCCACTAAAATATCGTTGTACAATGTGTTCCTTGTAAATATACTCGTAAAACTATGTATTGAACATCCTTGAAACTTATATAGTAAATACATTAAGCAATATTCGCCACAAACTGAAGTCCACTCATTCTGAATCCTATCAACATTCCAGTTCCATCTTTTACAATTCCTTTTTAAAAACTCTAGATGATATCGTACAGGTGATCGTCCATATGAATCAAAATATTGACCGACGTCATTCGTATCGATATATAAAGCTACCCAATGTGACCCTGGTTTATCATCTGTATCCAAATTACATATTATATACGTTGGTACGTGGGTATACATAGGCAGTCTATTAGCTGCATAAACATTATTTTCTAGACTGGGGTGAATCTTTTTCAGATGTTGTTGTACATCTAGTGTATCCATGATATTACTGCTATTAGTAGATTATTACAGTACCTAGCTACTCAATGAATAACATAGGAATGGTCAATTATAGTGATTTCTACATATTAAATTGCATTTTTGTGTTATACAAACCGTACTTGAGTCATTGATCACCAAACAAAACACAATACGAAGAAATGTTGAGATAGGCAACGGAAATGTGAGATAAACTGATATGTTTCTAAATATTAAATTGCATTTTTGTGTTATACAAATCGTACTTGAGTCATTGATCACCAAACAAAACACAATACGAAGAAATGTTGAGATAGGCAACGGAAATGTGAGATAAACTGGTTGACGCATAAAGTAATTATCAACTCATTACGGAAATACTTTAGATTAGAATTTTTACGTACTGGTGGTATATAAGACCAACAAACGCAGTCATCGAGTTAGTGTACGGTCGTTTGGCTACAGTGAATCTATCAATAGTACATTTTGTGTTACTTCAATACACCAAAGGCTATGGATGTAAGTGTTTATTCTATTGACTAAATTACTTTTTTTCTGTTATTTTCATGTGTGTGTGTATTATTTTATTTAAATATTGTGTATGTATATGATCCATATGAACTTATGACTAATTATGATAGTTTAAGTCTAACATCGCTCCCTGAACAAAAATGTTTTTATAGTTCACTCACAGATTCACATATTTCAAATGATGATTACAATCATGCTAAAGATGTTTGGGAACATTTTGGGTGTTGTAATATGCTAGATTATTCAAACCTATATTTAAAAACAGACGTTTTACTTTTATCCGATGTATTTGAAAACTTTAGAAAGTTATGTATTAATACATATGATTTAGACCCTGTCCATTATTACACAGCACCCGGTTTAAGTTGGGATGCAATGTTAAAATATACAAAAATAGAATTAGAACTTTTAACAGATTATGAGAAAATTGCATTTATTAGATCAGGTATCAGAGGTGGTGTATCTCAATGTAGTAATCGTTATGCTAGAGCTAATAACAAATACATGGAGGATTATGATACAGGGAAACCAAATTCATATATCACATATTTTGATGCCAACAATTTATATGGTTGGGCTATGTCTCAATATCTTCCTACTGGTGGATTCGAATGGGTAAATCCAAATACAGAGTTTAATGTGTCTAAGACATCAGACTTCGGTTTTATTTTAGAAGTTGATTTGGAATATCCAGATGAACTTCATGATTTACATTCGGACTTTCCTTTATGTCCAGAAAACATTTGTGTAGGCAATATTAATGAGAATAAACTAGTCCCAAATTTAAATAATAAAGATAAATATGTAATTCATTACAGAAATTTAAAGCAGTGCATAGAAATGGGGGTTAAATTAACTAAAATTCATAGAGTTTTAAAATTT